AAGCGATGTCATCGATAACAAGCTTCATTTCATAATTACCAGATGATACAGCCTCAAAAACAACCTAATAACAAAACGTACATTATTGATCACAATATTCTTTTCAATTTTCATACCAGGCCAAATTCTTAATCAATGATAGTAAAAACAGTTTTTAACTTTTATTTTGTTTTTATCCAGTTATGGTACAATACCATACAAAACATCAATAATCGCCCGAATTATTGGAATTAATTAATCAGCAACTACGTGCACTGAATAGTTTAAATTTATATGAAATTTCGTTATCTATGTGAACTAAAAGGTTCTACACCCACCGTAAAATTATCGTCGGTTGTTGGTAAATCTATTTGCACTTTGAGCCATCGTGCACTCGTTGTTTGCCCCGCTGACCAGATTGGGTCAATAAGTGATCCCCCGCCGGATTGCTGGAGAGTGTAAATGTTGAGGAACGTATAGTAGCACGAACTATACGATGAGCATTGATAGTAAAACATTAAACAGTTGTTTGTGTGGGTGCTGTACAAAAAGGGTGTCCTCAACCGGTATCGCAGTCCTGTATCGTGTCTACTTGCCCTCAAGTAGTGTCCTGTTACAACGAAAAGAAGGTTTCACTTGGAATGTTAACTCTGGAGAATTTCATCATCATAATCAGAATCATCCTCTTCATCAATATAATCATAATCACTATCATCAACACCATCTGATATGTTGACATCGTCACCGTCTTTATCGTTTTCGTCGTCGTCGCCATAAGCAACAACAACAACTTCTTCAACATCAACAAATAATGACATGAACGCTTTTTAAGCCACTCTCACACTATACACGCACGACCGACACAGACCGGTACGGTCGTTGCCAGTTCGTGATAGTGTGAGTGCTGCGCTGCTAAGAGCAACTTGCTCGTGACAGGGGATGAGAGTGTCGCTACTCTGGAGTTTTCATGTTGAATAATCCATTGTGGTTTGAACTGCTCGCCACGTGTCGTAGTCATTTGGCTTCTCGAAGTTCAAAGTTTGAGCTAAAGTGGCCACTATTACTTTCCACCAATGGATGACACGAGGTGTTTTTATGCATGCCAAATGAGCCAGGGTAAAATGTTCATGCTGGGGTAATTCTACAACATACGATTGCAGGACTACGTCTTGTTAGTGTGTGTGGGGGGGGGGGGCTACGATCGGAGGGCAGGTCCTACTTCCGGTCGGATGCAACCGTAAGTCGGTACGGTCTAGAGAAAAATCACCCCTCTCACCATACTCCCACTCATGGCCAAACAAAGATGAGATTAATTATTTGTCGTGTCGAAGGTCTTGCAATTGTCTTCTTACGTGAAATATAGTTTTATACCGGTACTTACCATTAGCTCCAATAGTATGGTCGTATCTTGGATGCCGTCTGTACGCTGGTACGACCATCCATGCCTCACCCGTCTCGTCGTACGGTCCATATCCACAGTCATTCTCAAATGTACAGCCAGCTTCTGGTAGGCTTACAACTTGCCAAATCCGTTCAGTCGGTAGAGGTTCCGTGGGCGTGGGAGTCGTATATACTGTTGATGTACAGTAATTGTAAAAAGATTTTATACTGGGGCAGATGCAGGATATGGCGGTAGAGGGTGCGTGAGTGTTCACACCACCTGAGCCCCACCATGGTTTGGAGCTAAGGCGAGACCATTTTGAGAATATGGACCTCTAGGTGCCCGGAATTTTTTATTTCCTTCACATCCAACAGCAAGTACACTTGCCACTTACAAGATGAGAATGATGCTTTATAAACTAAGACTTGGGGAATGGAGTTGATTTTAGTCGTGAAAAAAAGTCCTGCTGTGGCAGAATTTGAAACCAGGACCTTGGGACCAGAAGGAAATCATCTTAACCACGGAGTTATTCAACTCCACTATTCAAATAGCACTCTTACTTTGATAATTCATATCAACAATACAATACAACAGTTATTTTTCATGATACAATTTAGGGGGTGCGATCACACGGTCTGCACTCCCTTGTATCCGCTCTAGTTACACCTACGATACCGTGATCAGTGAATTAAAATCCTGTCAGAAGAACGAGGAGGTGATTGAAGTAGTTGAACTCCGGCACACCCTCCGGCATCACGACAAGACAACCGCTATCAATTTCGAGTTTATGACATAGGATACCACCTTCGCCCATTCCAAAGTCTTTATAATTACCTTAAACCTTTTTAACATAACACATAGACCTATTGTATTATGATTTATAAAAAGTAATGCACCATAATTAATGACTTTACTTTTATTTTCCTTTTTTGACTCCACTTTAAAAAACTTTGTTAGTCTGAGTTCTTAAATTGCGGCCAAACGTGGATAGAAAAAGTGCTCTAAATGGTTATATTTGTAGGCCTAGTAGCATTTTAAGCATTAGGACCTATATCGCAAAACGTGAATTGAGTCCTATTTAATTTGGAAATTTACCTGTTCAAGACATAATAACAACCAGAACTCACGTATTGGACAAGTTCCATTTAAAACTTGAACGTCATCAATGCAGAAAGCGCCCTCAGTGCCGCGTCCACGAATTGCTTCGAAGATGAGTTGAAATGGATCATCGTTAGTTACTTGAAAGTGGCTCCGGTGCCACGAATCACCCTGGTCGTCTTTGACATTCCACATCAACTTCTTTTTACCATTTTGTTGGACAAACACTTTTAATTTTCCCGCATTTGAACCAGAAACATAGTACCAGAACAGAACACAATAGTCTTGCTCAGTTGTAGTTGAGTTATGAAGTGGGGATATGATTCTAGCCCTGTGTCCAGCAAGTTTCGGTGTGGTATCTGGATTAACACATAGGTAATATCCTGTAGGAAAACCAAATAAGTATAATATTATTTCAATCATCAATCCTTTTTTTATTTCACTCATACTAAAGTGACAAGACCTCAAGAAGCAAACCTTGGATGCAAATGAGGTCCCCAAGAAAATAAAAAATAAAAATTAAAAAAATCTACGTTATAGTTAACCAGATTGTAGGTATTGTTTGAGAAGGAGTTTTACCGTGATGAGGTTTTTTTGAATCTTTAATTGTGTTGGGGAGAGAATTCCATATAAAATGGGGCCAGAGTAGGAAATCGGTTCGTCTGAGTTCTTAAATTGCAGCCAAACGACGTGTATAAAAACGTGTTCTAAATGGGCGTCTAGTCGTGTGTTGGGTTTGCATTTCCTTGGTCAAGGTTCCGTAATTATTTCCATAATTTTGTCCATTAATGTGATTATTATTTATATATTTATCTCCCAATAAAACCTGTAGGAAAACGTAACCAAAGGGAGTAAAATAAAAATGGAATGTGGACGAATTAGACAATGAAAAACGAATAGAACTGAAAATATTCAAAGTAGAATATTATTTCAATCACCAATGAGGTTGCATTGAGAATATATTCTATAAATGTTTTTATCCAAGCTTACTATAAATCGTCTCCACTAACAATTATGTTTTTTTTTTAAAGGTTGGGTGCTAACTGGAAAAATTAATAAGAGGTGTCAAACCGTAGTCAAATCCAAATGTATGGTCCCCGTCAGGTCCGTCTCCGGACACTCCGTCATCAGCCTGCTGCCTTATCCAGTCAACATCAACACTTGGATCTGATTGGTACCCACAGAGACCGTCTTCAAAGTCACATGTTACATCGGGATTCAAAGAATCTGAAATGTAATTGTTAGAGGATACTAAGGCCTAGTTCAGACTAGGTGGATAAACCCGGCTCAACTCACCGGGTTTACCCACCTGCCAGTCTGAACTAGGTGGCTTATCTCAAGCCGGGCTCTGTTTCTATAGTAACAAGGCCTGGCGTGCCACCGTAAGGCCTAGTTCAGACTAGGTGGATAAACCCGGCTCAACTCACCGGGTTTATCCACCTGCCAGTCTGAACTAGGTGGCTTATCTCAAGCCGGGCTGTGTTCCTATTGTTACTAGGCCTGGCGTGCCACCGTGTTTAACTTTTCTAAACCGGGCTTTAATAGTAGCGGGGGTCTTGCATTGACTTCGGGTTACGAAATGACCAATCAGCATTCAATTACGTACGCTATGAGCGAGCGTACATTTCGCGATCAATGTTTTGAAACACTTTTCCTGGTTACGGTTCATTATTATGCAAATTCTCGCCTGGCTAAACCCACTAGTCTGAACGCCCGGCAAAGTTAAGCCGGGTTTAACGTTGAGCCCGGCTTAACTCAAGCCTGGCTTATCTCCAAGTCTGAACGTAGCCTAACTTTTCTAAGCAGGGCTTTAATCGTTGCGGGGGGTCTTGCATTGACTTCCGGGTTACAAAATTACCAATCAGCATTCAATTATAAGCTGTGAGCGAGCGTACGTACGTTTCGCGAGCAATGATTTGAAACACGTTTCCTGGTTACGGTGTATTATTATGCAAATTCTCGCGCCTGGCTAATCCCGCTAGTCTGAACGCCCGGCATAGAAGCCTGGCTTAACGTTGAGCCAGGCTTAACTCAAGCCTGGCTTATCTTCAAGTCTGAACGTAGTCAAAAACTCATTCTCGAATAAGCGCCTTTATCAAATAAGAGCCGCACTTACAAGCGCCTCAACATAATCAATGGCATAGTCGCTTACAAAGTCATTTACAGTAAAATATTAGAAATATTATGATGTAAGGCGTATGAATAAGTTGATTTTAATTATTATAGAAGATATACAAAGTTTGATCGTCTGCAGACAATTTTAGGCTCAAATAGATAGTATGTTATACTTACATATTCCAGGACACTTTTCATCAGATATCACAACATCATCAATTGATATTGAGATATAACTTCGTCTTTCACCTTCAATAACAATCTTGGATATGAGAAACAATAATGATATGAAATGCATTTACAATTATTATTATTATTATTATTATTATTATTATTATTATTATTACCATATTATTATTAATATATTATTATTATTATTAACATCATCAATATCATCATCATCATCAAAATCATCATTATTATTCTAATATCGTAGGCCTAGATCATCTTCTTTTTCTTTGTCCAAACATATCATCACAGTATCCTCATTGATCGACTTTCAGCTTTAGGGATTTCTGGTACAGTATTAACATGGTTCAACTCTTACATAAAATCTAGGCAACAGTCTGTTAGAGTGGAATCAGCCATTTCAGTTCCAGTCCCAGTGAATTTTTTTTCCTAAGGTTCTACCTTGGGGCCTATTTTGTTCCTTATTTACGTACGTCCTCTTGGTGACATCATTCAG